TTTTTTTTTTTTTTTTAATTCCCTTAAAAGGTCTGCCAATCAGTTAAATTGGAAAATGACCACCAACTTGAGAGTAAAACGTTTTTTGTCATAAAAGACGTCAACAGCAGGACAACTCAGGCAATAAAGTTCGAACAAAATTCTCAATGTCTTCTCTAATGCATTCTAAACCAAACCTGCTAAATGAGATATTCAAAATTATCAGAGCAGAAATGACATATTTACTTTCAAAAGTAATGAAGTCCCGAATTGCGAAGACCCGTAATTTTGTTAGTTGAATTTAGAATATGGGTCTACAGCTACATCTGCCCCCTGTCACATGGCAGGGAAATAGGTAATCTCATCGAAACTTTTTCCTACCTGTAGCTGTGGTGCACCTTCTAAAAAAAACCTTCCGTACAACTTTTGACCGTATGTTTCACTTTCAAGACTAACGACAATTTTTTGAAACTACTCGTTAAAGGGAAAAACAGATTGCCAGCGCAAATATCATCCTTCAAATAGCTTAAAAAATGACTCGAAAAACTTTTTTTTGTTTTCCAGAATTTCTACAATATTTCAGCTTCTCAGACCCAAAGAATACTTCTGGCAGATTCTCATGCCAATAACTATCATCAAACTCTAACCTGTAGAATGGTTAAAATATAGTCTACTTTTAAAAATGTTGCCATTTCATTAAAAACAGTTATTCTGAGACACGGTTCAAAGTGACGCTTCCAGAAAAATTTCTTTCAAAAAGTAATTAACGATGACCGAAGATCAATCATAAATTTGGTGTTGCATAAAAAAAATTTTGGGGTTGAAGACCCTAGAAAAACTTTTAAAATCACAAAACTCTAAATATTTCAAACTAAAAACTGTTTTAATAATATGACCTTTGAAAAGTTTCTAGGTCACCAAAACTGTAACAGATCGCAAGTTCCCGGAAATTCCTCTGAATAACCTATGAGGAAAATTACGGTACGACTGTCCTCCCGTTAACCAACATTGAAGGTCAGCAGCTGGAAAAAAAGAAATCAACTATTTCCAACCAATCGTTGCAAAATTTTTTTTTGCCTCATCAATCTTTTAAAAAAAGCACTTAAAGAGAAACTACTCACCATATTAAATTATATCAGTCTCAGAAGTAAATCAGAAATCCCGAGAAAAACTCAATTAACAAAACTTCTAATAATTTATCAAATTTAAAAAACAATTTCCTAATTGAATTAACGTTTTAAAAAGTCTCTTAATCGATTAATACGTTAATCGACATCATTTCTTCACCAAATGAAATTATATCAATTTCAGAAGTTAATTAGAAATCCCAAGAAAAATTCAGTTAGCGAAACTTCTAATGAAATATCAAATTTAACAACAATTTCCTAATTGAATTAACGTTTTAAAAAGTCTCCTAATCAATTAATACGTTGATCGACATCATTTCTGCACAACCCCGTTCTCCAACAAACTTTTTTAAAAGATCACTTCTACTGGTGAACAAAGTTGACGATAAGAAAACTTTGATCTATTTTCAAAAGCAGTAATTGATTGTAGCTTAAGTTTCAGAGTGTAATCCCGCAACCAAATAACAAGTCACCGTTTCATTGCAATCAAATACCGCTTCAACAAATGTCAAATAGGTGTTAAACTAACACTAGTCAAGCAGTATTTCTTCAGCCGTTTGTTGACACTGAAGTAAAAGACCTTTTGAGCAACCAAAGAAAAAAAAACAAGTATAACACAAAAATCCACTAATCAACTGCCAGGTCAATAATCAAGGAAAATATAAACCCAAAAGGATCGCTTGTCGATGCCGACATTCGCGTAATTGAGATGTTCAGTGTAGAGATTTAAATATCCTCACTGAACAGAGAATGGTCTGGCTAAAATAAAAGCGCTGCATTAACGTAGACTACTGACTGAAACTTAGGAATAACTTTCTAAAATTTAGCCTAAACTACCCATTTAAAGGTATGTACGCATCAATGTCACTGACAGTCAGACTGCACTTTGAAACTCTCTTATGAGACATTTCTCGCATAATTTCCCAAACAAAAAGTGTTGCTAGGAACACCTTCAAAAACTGGCTCAAATCACCTTAGTTTTTAAGTGATGTAAATAAAAGTTGTTTTTGTTGTTGCAACTACTGATACCATAGCATTCCACAAAAAGATTAGAAATAGATTTTACAGTTACTTTGAAAGAAAAATTTCCCAAAATTTCTTTTTGTTCTATGTAACCATCTTTGAACTGATCAACAGATTGATATTAATGTATACAAAATACACAGGTGATCATAAAAAAGTATAACACGTTTTTTTTTTTTTTCGTCTTTTATCTATAAATAGTATGTTTTTTCTTTTTTGTCTGACCAAATCTTCTTCATAAGTGTTCTTTACCATGGAGACAACCAATAAAACCACGAACTTTGAGTGCTAAAAAAAAAGTGGTCCATTCTCTAAATAATTTGGATTTTAAACTGATGAATGAACAAAAAATGACACAGTAGACAATAAACGGTCGCAGGCGCAAAAACATGGAGTTGTTTAAGAATAGTCTATGTTTAGGAAATATTATAGCGGCCTACAATATGTGACTTCTTTGATAGCAAATGCATAAATCACAAGTTCGATAATTGTTGAACCATAAAATTGCTCTACCCTACCCTATTTTCCTTGCTTTCTGAATTAAAAAAAAACAGTACCAAATAACATTCAATCTCATCAAGCGGTAAAAAAAAAAGGAAACGATAATCAAACGAAAGAAGTATCAGCGAAAAGCAACACATTAGTATCTGTATATATATACAGATATCACTGACACAAAAACCTTCAGCTGTGATGTTTGGCAGTTGTTCTCTGTGTTGTATACTACGCTTAATATTCCGCTATAATTTCATTGGAAGGTCTGATTATTTTTGGCAAATCTCCAAATCTATTCTATTAAAGGCGCTTTACTACGGCAGTTGAAAGTGGTGGGTTGTTCTTTAAACGGATACTGAAACTATACTAATGGTAGAAGGAAAAAAATTGCTTCTTTAATGAGAGTTGATTAAAAAAATTAGTAATCATAAGATAATGGTAATTTTAAAAAACTGATCAAGCAATTAATTTAAATAGAAATTAATTTTGCTGATGCAATGGGAAATTTTTTGATGTTATTGTTTGTTGTCGATGCTAAAATTGAAAGTCATATTATCAGTGCATTTTAAAACACCTTTACTTGCAATTATTCATTTATTGACAAACTACACTGTCACTAATTTCAGTGAAAAACAAGAAAGGGGAAAACCCCCCCTGACAAGTTCTATAATATTTGCAACAACTTTGGAAGAAAAAAAAAAAAAAAGAAAAAAAGGAATTTCTATTACAAAAGTAAACAAATAAACGGAACATTGTCAAAAGAAACGAAGAAAAAGAAGTTTAAACTTCAATGCTTTAGAAAGAAAAAAATGAACTCTTTTCATTGTTATTGTTGTTCTGGTTTACTGAAAATATCTACAGAATAAACGTCAAGAAAGAAAGACGGAAAAAAAACCCGAACAGATGTTATTGACAGTAAAGAAAAAACAAAAAAAGAAAAAAAAATTTGTAGCATTATCATTGATTTCTCATCGTTATACAACAAATTTCTATTTACGTCAGTTTTTGAGCTGTATAGAACAGTCACAAAATTGTGTTTGAAGAAAAAAAAAATTGAGACCAACAATAAACTTGAGAATATTCTGGTTTGTGAAATAAGAATTTCTAAAGAGCATTTAGCAACAAAACTTTATTGTTAAGAATGATAAACAACTTGTTAAACGATAATTGTTTATAAACAAGTTACAATAAATTGTTTTAAAGGTGTAAACAACAAATGGAAGATTATTTGGTGGAACAAAGGAAAGAGAAAAAAAAATCTGCAAATGGCAAATATAAACTTAACAACTGTTTTGTTTTTTTGAGGGAAGAAGGAGGAGGAAAGGTTAATGATGGTGAACAAAAAAAACCTGTGAATGTTTGATTGATACAATTTAATCAAAGAATTCTTTTACGTAATTCAATAGTTGTAACTTTAACAATAAAAAGTCAAAAAAAAAATCTCATCTTTTATCGCTGTAAGAAAAAAAAACATAAAAATAATAATTTTTGCTTGTAAGCAAATTAATTGACGACATAAATGTCGTAAAACAAATAAGGTTTTTTTTCTTTTCAATATATATCTTTAATATTTACCGCTATCGTAAGGAGACAGGAGAACAGGCTGGGGGAAGGAAGGAGGACAACTGAACGGGAAGGGGGAGGTGAAAGGAGTAGACAAACGAACAAAAAAGAAAAGTGGAGAAAAAGATGTTTAAGAAGGGTATTATCAACTAAAATAATAGCAACTGAAAGTATTGTTAGGTGATTATTGGTAAGTTTAAATATTATATTACTAATTCATCTATTTATTTATTTTTTTTCTTTAAAGTTTTCTGAACACTGATTTTCTGCGTTTATTTGTTATTCACTAAATACACTGATCGGTATCGGATAAGTGGACTTTTAAAGTATTGAAGTACAACAAATTCCTTCTAAGTTTTCTGAAAATAATTTACAGAACATTTGTGAACAAGAAAAAAAAAAAAGAAGCTGTTATCTGTTTTTTATGATATACACATCTGAGCAGTCCTTTTTTTTTTCAGTTTTTTTTTGTTTACTAACAAGTTTTTTGTTTTGTTTTTATAACAGATTAAAAATGTCAACAACCTTTTTCCGTTTTTCTTTTTTTTTTCTTGCTTTTGATACTCATTGATCTGTAAGAAGATACAGTAAGAAATACAGTTAAACTGTTGATTCGTTAAGAGGTGAAATTTAAATAAATAATACAAAAAGAAACAATAGATAGCTAAGTGTTTTTTTTTTTGTTTATTAATCTAAAATTTATTAGGAAGAGAAGAGGGAAAACAGATCTTTAAATTTTATTAATAATTCATTAACATTTTATTGTCATTATTTATGTAAGTTTTTTTTTAGATAGCCAATGACTGTTACCTATAATCATGATTTGGCTACAGCTCGATTTACTGCTATTATAAGGACAATCTTTCGATGGAAAGGTGGTGTCTGGAAATCAGTGTATTTGGAAGTAATTGCTTGGTGTACCATCTATGGTGTACTGTCAGCTATTTATAGATGTTGGTTAAGTGAACATGAACGAGAGTAATTTGTTTCATCTTAGTTTTCTTTTTTTTTTTTTTTTTGTAATAATCATCAACGATTAACAAATTATTCAAAATGATATTTTGATTACCAATTTCTATATAAGCAAATAATAGTA